AAATTGTGTGTGTTTTTGTCATTTCACTATCCCTACCACATCATATGATTACTAAAAACAAACTCATTACTAAAAACTGAAACGCAGTACAGTCATCTGGTGCATATAGGAAGTCAACATGTGTAATTTTTAATTAAGAGTATATCCTATAGAGATTTATCATAGTTGATCAGAGGCTTCTAGGATCGTAATTTCACCTACAGTCTTTTCATGCTTTGAACAATGCATAGTAATGGGAATCTATTCGCTTTTACTGTGACAATTCCATGGCTTTCCCTGGATATAAAGGTTATTATTGTAGTCCTTGAGGCTCCTTTGTGAAATGTAGGGAAAAATTGTAAACACAGGTCCATTGTCTATAAGAACCACTAAGGTTTTCGGTTATTCTGTCACCTGTACTAGAGAGTGAGAAGATAAGTTTGGTGACTCTGGATATTAACTGCATTTTCCTTTTATTCTAGTGGTCATAAATCCGCTTCAGTTACCCTATTTGTGGTATGACCTACGGCAGTTTATCCATGATTTTGTGATCTCGTGCAAACACTCATGAAACCCAAGATTAAAAAATCTGCCCATTGTGTAGGTGTTCCTGGCTCCTCCCCAAACCTCGATTCGACTATTTGCAGAAATTGTTTTGGGTTTTGTTCCAGGGCTTAATAAAATCATCCAAAAGGGCATTTGTTCCAAGGCCAGAAACGCAAGGGGCCCATCAAAAGGCTTGCAATAACGCTGCTGTAAAGTTTCCATTTTGATACTGTTCTAGGCAGACATCCCAACTCTCCCGGGAGTCTGCTGCCGCTATAAGATAACTGCTCCCTGAAGCCTGCGAGAGAAACATTTTATCCCGTAAAGGTTTACTCTGCTCTACCTAGTTGAGTAAACCTTTCTGGGATCCGTGTGTGTGTTTTTGGGGTATTTTTATTTTATTTTTTTTTATTTTGAAGGTGGCTGCTGCTAGAATACAAAAAAGTCCCAGCTTATAGCAGAGGAGCCAATGCTTCGCCCTGCTATCTGCCACCCATCCTATCCGTGGGTGCAGGGGATGGGGAGGGGAAACCTCCCTGAAATGAGTTTTAGCAGGTTGGGATGTCTCTCTAGGAAGTCATGAGACCCCTTGTTTTACAATTTTGAGTATCCTATTTGTTTTAATGAGATCAGCGCAAAGCTAAACTTTTCATTTATTCTTGTATAAACTTTGTCTGCTACTCCAATTTGAAATACTTCTTTCATAAACACTGAAAACACATTGCATTTCTTCACATGGTGCAGTTTATTTAAAATGTTAAGGGGCCCATTCACTGTTACTCTGGTTTCTTCGACACAACTCTGTATGTTGGGTCGAGGAAACCGATTCATTATAAATGGGCTGCCAATGAGCCATCTAACGGATGATAGAACGTACATGACCCTATTGACACATCTGCTTTTGTGGTGTGCTGCAGTGCATTGTGCTCTGCTGTACTATGTGTTGGCATGCCATTCACAATGAACCGCAACTCCCCACACATGGAGCAGGTGTGTTTGTGGAAATGTGCATGATTGTGTAGGTAGGATTTCTGATTATGAAAGATGGGAAGGGCCTAATAGAAATGGGACCATGACTAAAAATCACCCTATCGGTCAATGTCTCCAGTTTTATACCAAATAAGATCATTATTTCAGCTTTTACTTGGAAAACCTTTCCTTTGTGGCCTCGGATGTCACAGCCTCTCATTTCCCGAGCCTGTTGACAGCCTCTACCATTTATCCTTGTTGATATGCTGGCAGAGACCAGGCTATTCCATGTCTGCTGCAAATAAGATGTTGTTTTGCAAGCTTGCAGATATACTCAAGCACTTTGCTCTCCTGCACTATTGTAGTTGTTGGCGCTGATATTGAGCTGATGAATATAAATAGATAGGGATGGAGCATTTTAAATAAGGTAAAACTCTCTTACCAGTATAGACTGAGAGCATTATTAACCAAAAAAATGTTGGCAGGAAACATCTGCAGCCTGATAATTTGGAACAGATCCACTTGTGGTCTTTTGGGATAGGCTAGAGATTCATTTCTGCCCAAGTGAAAATATGTAAACATTCCTTCATGAATGGAAGATGCCTGTAGGTGGTTTATAAAATCTACCAAAAATGTGGGAGGATGGTGCTTCAGGTGGAATATATTTTGAAGCAGATAATCTGCCTACTGCAGCAGAGTGTGAAAGTGGAGTTTTAGAGAAAGGACAATGAACTTCTCTTTTCTCCTTTTTAGTCTGTTAATATACAGATTTAAACACATTTTCGTCTGTTCGTAAGCGCAGAAAAACTGTTTTATCATGTCAGAAATTCAAAACTAGCCTGTGTTAGGAGGAGTCTAATTAGCCCTCCAATATTTATTTTATTATTTTTATTTTTCTTGGAACAATTAGCCATGTTTTGGAGATGGGACAGTCGGTAGATCGGAGTGGTTTAGCAAAAGACAACTGGACAGGACGATGCATCCAGCATGTTAACTAGCCTCTAGTGCTGCCCTTCCTGCTGCCAGATTTCAAGGCCTGATTCGCACCTAGGCAGCAACGGTTTTGTGCGGGAGCGTCCGTGTGTACATGAAGACATGCGTTTTGACTGGCAGTTCATGAACCATTGTGGGCAATGGAAGAAAGCGTGTTTAAACACGTAAAAAAACGCCCCTGAAAATGTGCAACATGCTTCTGCCGCATGTTTTTGGGCATTTCATACTGACGTCTATGGGGACAAAAATGCGCTTTTAACTGCCCAAAGAAGCTCCTGTACCTTTTTCGGGTTGGCTTTTTCCTGTTGGTATTTTTCTGCTCAGGTGTGAACAGGGGCCATTGAAAATGAGGGGGTTTCTTGTGTTTTCCAACTGCTCAAACTCCTAGGTGTGAACCAGGCCTAAGGTATGAGGGAATACAGAAATACATAAGGATTCATACAACACCTGGTCTTCAAGCAGTTAAAGGGTATCTATGGTCAAAAACTACACAAATATATATTGAATTTCAATTATTTCTGTCTCACTTGAACCATATTGATCTGGAAGTTTGTAAACTTCCTTTTCAAAGATGCCCAAAGGATGTACTTCCTCAATGCAGTGACACAATTCCATTCAGCCCCGTGAATATGAACTCCCTTGTGTCACCACTTTAAGCCTGCCCTCTGAACTACAACTCTGAGTCTGAACTTTCCACAATAGCAAAATGTTTCCCAGCGCACTCACCAGCCAGCAGGCAAAAAACTTGTCTCACCGCTAAGGTTAAAAACAGAGGTTTAGATACCCGTCTTCTGCAGAAAATGTGAAAGGCGCACAGCCGCGCCAAGGCAGCTCTTGTAGTGCGGTCCTAACTCTAAACCATCAGAGCCTCCATCTTGGAGCACATGGGGCAAAAGATAACATTGGGTGCAGGTTTGTCAGGAGGAAGCCCAACCTCCTTTAAAGGCACATGGACGCACAAGGGACCCCGAACATCACAACGGCAGCTGAGACCTCCCATGCGTCACTGCACCAAATCATCCTGACAAACCTGCACCCAATTTTATCTTCTGCCCCATGTGCTCCAAGATGGAGGCTCTGATGGTTTAGAGTTAGGACCGCACTACAAGAGCTGCCTTGGCGCGGCTGTGCGCCTTTCACATTTTCTGCAGAAGACGTGTATCTAAAACCTCTGTTTTTAACCTTAGTGTGAGACAAGTTTTTTTACATGCTTGTGAGTGTGCCAGGAAAACTTTTTGCTATTTTACTGTTTAAAGCCCATTCCGTGTGCACCTTACTGTTAAGCTGGTGACGAATTGAAGAGTGCATTTGCCATTTGTTTTGCTTGAACTTTCCACAATGTCACAACATCACTGCTTGCTGGAAGCAATGCATGGTGGGCAATGTATTCTTGAGAAATAAAGATTGCATCACATCAAATATAAGGTAAAGAGATGCAAAAGGGCACTGGGAGTCCAGGAAGTTGTTGAAAGTGATGGGATGGCAGAACTCTACATAAGATATTGTTTCAAGTAAGCTTTGATTGTATTATGTTAAACAACTCTAGTATGTAGTCCTATTACAATATATAATGTTATAACAGGATAGTATATGCTGTCACTTTTATAACTCTGTCTTTCAAGCTCTCTCCATAAATATGACCGTTTTTTAAGTTTTGTGTTTTTTTTTTTTTTTTTTTTTTTTTTTTTTTATTTTTTTTTTTTTTAATGAACCTGAACGCTTTTTTTTTCTTCTTGTTTTATATTGTTTTTAGAGCATAAAATCTAATTTTAAAAAAATTTTAATAAAATGATGTTCTTATGAACTGTTTGCT